ACTTGGCCCCTTTAAGGCTTGTGGACTTCAACTCCCAGAATTCCCCAACCAGCCACGCCGCTTGGTCCCTTTTAAGGCTTGTGAACTTCAACTCCCAGAATTCCCCAGCCAGCACGGCTGTCTGAGGAATTCTGGGAATTGAAGTCCACAAGCCTTAAAGGGACCAAGTTTGGAGACCTCTGGATTAAACCGACTTCTGTTTTTTCAGCCTTGAAGGCGAGGTCTCCAATTCTAGACATTGCCCCTCTGACACACCTCAAAAGCGACCCCCCCCATGGAAAAAATGGGAAGAAACAGCATAAAATGAGGGAGATGGGGAGAAGATTCAGGAAGAGACTGGACTGCCATCTGTCAGAAATGGTGTAGGGTCTCCTGCTTGGGCGGGGGGGTTGGACTAGATGATCTACAAGGTCCCTTCCAGCCGTAATTTAGTAATGCCGTTGTTAAGTGAATTGGGCTCTCCCCTTTGACTTTGCTTGTGGGAAGGTTGCAAAAGGGGATCGTGTGACCCCAGGGACTCTGGGAGAGTCATAAATGTGAATCAGTTGCCAAGCATCTGAATTTTGACCACGGGGGAACTACAATGGTCGTTAAGTGTGAAAAACAGCCATAAGTCACTTTTTCCAGTGTTGTAATGCTGAAGGAATGGCTGTAAGTTAAGACATCATGCTCCAAAACCCGCAGCTGTTACCCATCCATAAAATACAACAATTAACCAGTGGAACGACTTGCCACCAGGAGTTGTGGGTGCTCCAACCCCGGAGGATTGGACAGCCATTAGTCTGAAATGGTACAGGGTTTCCTGCCTGAGCAAGGGGTTGGACTAGATGACCTCCAAGATCCCTCCGAACTCAGTTATTTCTGAACGGCTTGCCTCGAGAAGTTGTGGGTGCCCCATCACTGGAAGCTTTTAAGAAGAGACTGGAGAAAGATTTTTCTGAAATGGTAGAGGGTCTCCTTCCTGAGCAGGGGGCTGGACTAGAAGACCTCTAAGGTCCCTTCCGACTGTTATTCTAGTTATCTAATGGCCACCGCCTCTCTTTTTCCAGGGATTTCCCCGTCTGCTTCCTGAAAGCTCCATCTGATTCTGAAATAATCTGCCCCCGTACCTTTAGGAAGATTTTTGTCTTGCCAATCTGCCAATCGTCGTCTTTGCCCAGCACGGCTTCAGCGATGCGCTGGCATGTTCCATGCAGATCTCCCTGGAAGAAACAATAGAATAGAATAGAATAGAATAGAATAGAATAGAATAGAATAGAATAGAATAGAATAGAATAGAATAGGAAAGAGAATGGAATGGAATGGAATAGAATAGAATAGGGAATAGAATAGAATAGAATAGAATAGAATAGAATAGAATAGAATAGAATAGAATAGAATAGAATAGGATATTGGAATGTAGAATTGAATAAGAATGAATAGAATAGAATAGAATAGAATAGAATAGAATAGAATAGAATAGAAAAATATTGGAATGTAGAATTGAATAAGAATGAATAGAATAGAAGAGAAAATAGAAGAGAAAATAGAAGAGAATAGAATAGAAAATAGAATAGAATAGAATAGAATAGAATAAAATAGAATAGAATAGAAAATAGAATAGAAAATAGAACAAAATAGAATAGAAATAGAATAGGGAATAGGGAATAGGGAATAGGGAATAGGGAATAGAATAGAATAGAATAGAATAGAATAGAATAGAATAGAATAGAATAGAATAGAATAGAATAGAATAGAATTCTTTTATTGGCCGTGTGATTGGACACACAAGGAATTTGTCTTTGGTGCAAATGCTCTCAGTGTCCATAAAAAAGAAAAGAGACATTCGTCAAGAGTCAAGAATCATCAGGGGCAACACTTAATAATCGTCATAGGGTACAATAAGCAATCAAATCATACTAGGAAAAAGTCAATATAAATTATAAGGATACAAGTGAATGGATTTCAAAGCCTGCACCCAGTGGGAGGGTTGACTAGATGACCACCGAGGACCCCACGGTATGAATCTATGGGTGCCTGGGTCTAATCCTTGGCTTACAACCTCAACTGCGGCTAGAATTTCTGTCGCTAAATGAGGCAGCGGTTAAGTGAATTGAGTCCGATTTTACGACTTTTTTTTTTGGCGATGGCCATTAAGCGAATCTCTGCAGTTGTCGGAGTGAATCGCATGAGCATTAAGTGGATCTGGCTTCCCTCGCGGTCCTTTTGTAACTGCCTTTTGAGCAAGATGTTGGTCAAAAATTGGGGTTTTCCAGGAAAGAGAAAACATACACGCATACTTTATACACAGGGGTATTCCAAGGATTTACCTATATCTGTGGTGGTGAACCTATGGCATGTGGGCCACAGGTGACACACAGAGCCCTCTCCGGGGGCACCAGTGCCATCACCTCAGCTCAGCTCCACCAGACATGCGCATGGGCCTCCCGCTGACCAGCTTGCCTTTGAGTCTCTGCCGCACATATGCAGGGGCAGGACGCATGCATGAGGGTGGGGTCATAGGCCTAGGGGTCGGAGCAAACATGGGGTGACATGCGCACGCATGGAGGACCACACACACACATGTGTGGGGCGCGCACATGCGTGGTGGAACACCTTGCATTTTGGGGTATGTGCACGCTTTGGGAACTCGGGGTCCCAAAAGGTTTGCCATCACTGATCTACACCTCGTTTATTTGCTCATTCAAATGTTATATGTTGTAATTTGTGGAAAAAGCCACACCCCTGGTGAACGATGGGTTTGTTTAACGAAGAGGGTGTTTACTTAATGACAACCACAAGAAAAGGTCGCAAAAGCAGGCAGGGTCCTGTGATGTCCTGCTGAACAACTGTCTCCCTGAAAATAAGACCCAACTGGAAAATAAGCCCTAGCATGATTTTTCAGGAGGCTCGTAATATGAGCCCAGCCCTGAAAATAAGCCCTAATTAAAACTGTCAGCCAAACGGACACGTTTGGAACTGTATTTCCCTGAAAATAAGACCTAACTGGAAAATAAACCCGAATGCGTCTTTTGGAGCCAAAATTAATATAAGGCCCAGTCTTATTTTCAGGGAAACATGGTAGTACAATTAAATGATACACCAATTAAACTGTATGGGCTTTGGAAAAGAATTTATGAATGTAATCAAGATGATATATCACAAACAAACGCATAAAGTAATGGGGACTACACAGGGAATTTTCACATAAAGGAAGGAACAAGACAAGGTTGTTTCTACTAACTTTGGAAGTCTTAAAAAGGGAATATGAGTCAAAATACAGAAATTAAAGGAATGAAATGAAAGATATAAACTACAAGCGTTTGCAGACGATTTGGCATTGATCATAGAAGATCTGTTAGAGACAATTCCTAAAAGTATTAAAAGACATAGAGGAGTTAGGAGAGGTAGCAGGACTGAAAATAAAAACTAAAGCGCTAAGTTAAAAACCTCACACGCACAAACGAAAAGAAAAACTGGCAGAAGAAGTGGAATTTCAAATAGTTAAGAAAGTTAAATACTTGGGAATATACTGAACAGCAAGATGTGCAATGATCAAAGAAGACAAGTATGTAAAACTACTCAAGCAACCAGCCAGCACGACTTACAACCATAATTTCCCTCCGAATTACGGTCATAAATAAAGAACTACCTACTTAGTAATTAAAAAGCACTTACAGCCAAGGTGACTCTCACAAGTACAGACAGTCCTCGACTTTTATAATAGTTCACTTAGCGACCGTTTGAAGTTTCAACGGTGTTGAAAAAAAAGCGACTTAGGACCGTTTTTCACACTTACAACAGTTGTAGCCTCCCCAGGGTCACTGTCAACTCATAAAGCATTCCTATGCCTGTTTTTGAGTTGCCATAAACAAGGGGAGGGGAAAATCCGAAGGAGCAGTAATGGCTGTTTAAAACCAGAAGTATGTTCCACGCTTATCTTAGAAAGATTGTAGCTAAGCTACCGGATCTTCTGCCCTGGGAAAATCCTTCATTGGAGAACGTGAGGGATGACATCCAGCCCGTGAAGGTGCTTCATTGGAGAATCTGATTTATGACACACCCAGAGGGGAAGCGGGGAATCGGGTTCACGGGTGACTGTAAATTACATATGTTAGAGTTGGCTTCATTTAGGTTCACGCCAATATGTTGCTCCTAAAAAAAAAACTTTTGAATTCTTTTGAAGTTCACGATATTAATTTGGGCAATCGCCGGAACCCTGACAGCCGCATGATCCAAATTAAAAGGTTTGGCAATGGGTTCCTATTAATGACGGCTGTACTGTTTGCGACCTTCCGACAAGCAAAAGTCAAGGGGGAAGCCAGATGCACTTAACAACTCCGGAGATTCACTTAATGACGTTGGCAAGAAAAGTCACAAAATGGGGCAAAACTGACTTAAAAACTGCCTCGCTTAGCAATGGAAATGTTGAGTTCCATTGGGGTCGTAAATCGAGGACTACCCATGATGACAGCTGGCAAGGAATTGTGTTTTTACTTAAATACGATTATTTGTCTCTACCTGCTTGTAGGCGGGTTTCACGCCCGGCATGAGGACTCGATATCTGTCGACAAATTCCACAAAGGTGTACCGGATTGGATAGCCAGCCCTGCGGATTCGGATGGTTTCCATCATCCCGGAATATCTCAGCTGACGGACGCAGAGTTCCCGGTCAAATAACTTCAAAGAGAAAAAGTGGCCTTTAATTTCTCAGGATTACCTGCAAAGGATCTTCTAATGTAGGGTTTTTCAGTTTTTTAAGGTATGTGGACTTCAACTCCCAGAATTCCACAGCCCGTTCGGGGACTCCCAGAGAATTTTGGGAAATGCAGTCCACACTTGCTGGCTGAGGAATTCTGGGAGTTGAAGTCCTCAGAACTGAAAGTCGCCAAAGCTGAGAAACGTCGGAGAATTCTGGGAGCTGTAGTTTATGTTGGCTGTGGAATTCTGGGATTTGAAGTCCTCGGCACTGAAAGATGCCAAAGTTGAGAGAAAAGAGAATTCTGGGAGCTGTAGTTTATTTATGCTGGCTGAGGAATTCTGGGAGTTGAAGTCCTCAGAGCTTAAAGTTGAAAAGTTAGAGAAACACCAGAGAATTTTGGGAGCCGTAGTTTATGCTGGCTGTGGGATTTGAAGTCCTCAGAACTGAAAGTTGCCAAGGTTGAAAAGCATAAGAGAATTCTGGGAGCTGTAGTTTATTTATGCTGACTGAGGAATTCTGGGAGTTGGAGTCCTCAGAGCTTAAAGCTGCCTAGGTGGACAAACACCAGTCTAATCCAACCCACTTCCCAGGGCAGGAATCTGAGACCACCCCAGACCAATGGATACTCAATTTTGACTTGGCTACCTCCAGTAATGGAGCATCCCCAACTTAAGGTGGCAGGCTGTTCTGCTGGTTAACAGATCTCACGGCCAGAAAATCCCTCCTTCTTTCCCTCCGTAAGTTCTCAACCTACCTCTGGAATCAGGGGGGAATAAATTCACTCCATCTTCTCTGGGATAGTCGTCAAACTTTGAGAAGATTCCTCATCCTTCCCCTTTTAGGCTAAACTCACACAACCTTTTAAAAATCTATATATAAAAAGCGAAAGACCCCCTCATGCATCATCACAAAATCTCCAGAACCGTAAAGACTACAAACTTGAAATTTGGCACTTATGTTCCTCTTGGCTTCTAGGTGCTCGCTAAGAAAGGATTTTTCCAAATGACCATCAGAGCATTAGGATTTCCATTATTATTATTATTATTATTATTATTATTATTATTATTATTATTAT